CTCAGATCTCAGCCTCCAGAGTAGCTAGGATTATAGGTATAAGCCACTGGCACCTAGGTATTGTTTGTTTTCTAAGACGTGATCTAGCTATACTTCCCCCCTCCCAAGTATGCACTTTATTCTTTTTTTTTTTTGGTCGGTTGCGGGGCTTGAGTTCTGGGCTTGGGCGCTGTCCCTCAGCTCTTCAGCTCAAGGCGAGCACTCTACTGCTTGCGCCACTTCTGGTTTTCTAGTGGCTTATTGGAGATAAGAGACTCATGACCTTCCTACTTGGGCTGGCTTTGAACCATGATCCTCAGATCTCAGTCTCCTGAGTAGCTAGGATGACAGGCATGAGCCACCGGCACCCGGCTGCACTTTATTCTTATCAGTAGAGTTTGGCAAGCTGTCTGTTTCAGTTCTCAGAGCAATGAGCTAGATTTTTAAAGACTTGTACAAATTAGCCACTGGTGATGGGCCAGGGTTGCAACTGGACATGACAGGGCCTGGCCTGGTAGCTAAACCTGGGCAAAGCACAGAACATGTCCCAGTTTGTGGTGGGAGATGAGGCTAAAGCAGTCAGCAAGGTTCATATCAACAAGTCAAAGAAGCAATTTCTTTCACATAGAACAGCTCCTTGGGGACATTACATATATCCTAGTCTAAGTAAACCATACTTCCAGAATCCTGGAATATGAGACTTAACGTTCACTTTTACCCACTGGTGTTAAAAAAGAAAGGGGCAGTGTGAGAGGGCGTACACACCTGTCATTCCAGCATTAGGGACACTGAGGCAGGAGGATCATGAGTTTGAGGTCAGTCTGTGCTACACAGTGAAGCCCAGAAGAAAAAAGAAAGGGAAGGAGGGGAGCAGTGAACAAGAGACCACACAATCTTCATAGCATTGTAGGTTTCATGTCAGCCACTTGTCTGGAAAACAGAAGAAAAGGGAGGACATCTCCTGGGAGCCACATGATTCTGTCTGATTCACCTCCTTATCCTCAGGAATACTGAGTCCATCATAAAGATGATCATCCAAGGAAACCTCCCTCCTGAGGCCCAGCCCCCTGCTGACATGGGAGAGGACCCCACTTTCATCTACAGCACCTGGCTCGAAGCACTTCCCGAGCACCTTCAGGTGCTGGTCCGCAGCAAGGTGCCTGAATGCAGCAAACGCAATCAGTTTTTAAAGGTCAGTAAACAACAGCTGAGGGCACACCAGGGAGAAAGTCCCAGAGAACCAGGTTGACCTGCAGCCCCCGTAGAAGGAATCGAGCTCACAAATGCCCTTTCGAGGATAATGCTAGGTGAATTTTTTTTTTTTAAATAGCCTCATTTGTGTGGTTGTGTGACTTTGAGTAGTTAGATGCTCTGTCACTGAGCCTTGCTTCTAGCTCGATTTTTCCATTGGTTATTTTTGAGATAAGATCTTACTTCCTGCCTGACTCTGTAATTGTGATCCTCCTCCTCCTCTTTCTTTTGCTTCCACCGTAGCTGGTAGCTGACAGGATAGATGTGTGCCAATATGCCCAGTTGCTTCTGTTGAGATGGAGCCTCCTGGACTTTTCTGCCCAGGCTGACCTGAAATCTTGATCCTCCCAATCTTAGCCTCCCAAGTAGCTAAGATCACAAGTGTGAGCCATCACACCTAATTTTAGTATCCTCCTTTTTATTCCTACATATTCATTGTGGTGGATTGGTTTTCTGCATCAGAGGCTGAGCTTGGAGATCTGATTTTCTTTTTTTCTTTCTTCTTTTTTTTTGTCGGTCTGGGCGTTGTCCCTCAGCTCTTCAGCTCAAGGTGAGCACTCTACCACTTGAGCCACAGCACCATTTCCGGTGTTCTGGTGGTTAATTGAAGATAAGAATCTTACAGACTTTCCTGCCAAGGCTCGATTTTGAACGGAGATCCTCAGATCTCAGCCTCCTGAGTAGGTGGGAAACAGGCATGAGCCATTGGTGCCCGGTAGGGGAGATCTGATTTTCTCAGTGAAAGGGCCTTGTTTTATTTTAACTGGAAGTCAGTTGAACTCCTGCCTTTTCTCTCCTTGCAGATTAAGGAGGGGACGCACTTTGTGATCCCAACACTGGTTGAAGTCACATCAACCCTTCCTGGATCTACCTTATGGTCTCTCCTCCTGTTCCTGATGATGCTGAGTGGGGGACTGAGCACCACCATGGGGTTCATGCATGGTCTCATTATTCCTCTGCAGGATACCTTCTCTTCTCTGAGGAAACAATCCAGGCCGCTCACAGGTACTCTCACCAGTGGCTCTGATACCACCTAACCCCTACCCCAACCCTTGTCACCACTGAGCTTGAAGCTCAGTGCAGACCTAATGTCTCCTCCAGTGGGCATATCTATGATCATGTTCCTGTGTGGCCTCTTCTTCATTCGACCTTCAGGCTCCTACTTCATCAGACTGCTGAATATCTACTGCACCATCTTCCCCGCTATCTTCATCCTCTTATGTGAAAACATTGCTGTAGCCTGGGCCTACGGGGCCAAGAGGTGACAGACTAGGCCCCAGTGTCCACAGAGCCTGGAGCTAGTGAGAAGGTTGCCCCTTCCTGGTGCTTGCCATGAATTTTTTTGTGTCGATTGTGGGGCTTGAACTCTGGTCCTAGGCGCTGTCCCTGAGCTCTTCAGTGCCACTTCTGCTTTTCTGGTGGATAATCAGAGATAAGAGTCTCACAGACTTTCCTGCTTGGGCTGGCTTTGAACCATGATCCTCAGTTCTCAGCCTCCTGAGTAGTTAGGATTATAGCTTGACCCACCAGCACCCAGCTTTGTCATTAAAGTTCAGGGCCTTCTCAGAAATCTTTTGTTGTTGTTTTTGTTTTTTGTTGTTGTTTTGTTGGTGTTGGTGGTGGTCATGGAGCTTAAACTAGGCCTGGGCGCTGTCAGCTCAAGGCAAGCTCTCTACCACTTGAGCCACAGCACCACTTCTGTTTTTTCTGGTGGTTTATTAGAGATAAGAGTCTCACGGACTTTCCTGCCCAGGCTTTGAACTGAGATCCTCAGATCTCAGCCTCCTGAATAGCTAGGATTACAGGCATGAGCCACTGGCACCCGGCTCAGAAATCTTTTGTTCATGTTCTATAGAACGTTATTTTTGAGTTCTTCACACAAGCCAGCCACTATTTTAACTACCAGGAATACTGTGTTGAGATAAAAAAGAATCACCCCTGACCTCAGGGAGCTTGTGTTCTAGTGTGTTGATAACCCATAACCAAATTGACCAAAAAAGAAAGAAAATTATATAGGAGAGCCTAGAAGAAGCAAGGAGGTCAGAGGAGCTGGAATAGAATGTTAGGAGATGAGGCCAGACCATGAGGACTTTGTAAGCCTTTTTTAGGCAGAAGGAGAGAAAGCATTGGCATGTTTTGAGTAGGGAATAATATGATCCCATTTACCAAAACAAAATGTAAACAAAAGGCCTGGGACTATAGCTCAGGTGGCAGCTCCTTCGGGGCTGGGTTCAAACCCCAGGAACAACAAAGAAAGAAAAGAGACCTTAGCATAGATATTCTCTTTCACATATTCAGGGGATGGTGGGAAGGGACACACAGAAGATGTTGGAACAGTAGAAGGGATGCATGAAATATGTTTTGATCCAGAAGATTTGTCTAGGGAGGAGAAGATGAAACTTGAAATAAGCCAGGGGATTAGAGGTGTGGTAGAATACTGGAAAGATGCTCAAGTTGGGCTGTTTCTGCTCCCACAGAGTGGTGAGGCCAGACTAGACTCCCTACCCCTTGCAGGTTCAATCCTCCCACTGACTTCCCTTGCCCTCAACTCCCCCATCCCACCCTCTGTCCACAGGTTCATTGAGGAATTGAAAATCCTGTGGAGCAACCCTGTCTCCCACGTGTTTGTTTGCCTGTGGCGCTTTGTGAATCCAGTTGTGCTGGTAGCCCTGTTAGTGGCCATCCTGATTCATCTCTCTATGAAGCCCCTCATCTATGTGGCCTGGAACTCAGAAAATGTGAGCCTCCCTCCCTCCCTTCCTCCCCACCCCTAAGCCCTGGGGCTCACAGACCTTTCAGCCCCCTCTTGATTTAATGACCAGGTCATTTCATTCTTGGTTCCCTTCACACCATTCCTCTCTCCATTTCTTCCTTTTCTCCTGAGAGCATTCATAGACTCTAAACTCCTTTCCCATCTCTCCACAGTCAACTCAGATCCTTCGCCTGTACCCACCATGGGGACTGGTCTTGGTGGCTTTTTCTCTTATCATTTTACTCTTCCCCATTCCTGTGTACTTTGTATACTGCCTGGCCTACAGGATTCCCTTCAAGTCCAAGAGCCGGATCAGCTCTATAACATCCTTCAAATCCCTAACCCTAAGAGATCAGAAAAGGTCCAATAACAAGTCCTCAGAGGAGGAAATTCTACAGGCGATAAAAGAACAATGATCAACCTATCGTCTGACTTCCTCACTTCATTTGGCCTGACATCATGACATATTCTTTAAAATAAATAAAAACTTAACAGGCAACTCGCTAGCTTGGAACTGTTGATGGCCCTGGATCCAGAACCACTTTCATCCCCCAAGGTAGGGGGCTTGCTTAAGGAAAATCACGAGGCCTGGCTTGCAGCCATCTTCTTAGGCCCTGTCATTTCTGTTTGTCACTGTCATCGTGTCTTTCCCATCCCCTTCCTATGCTACTGGCTTTCCCCTACCAAACCTGCTGCTTCCGCTGCGCTGGCCTCCTGGAATGGGGCCAGCAGAGTCATGCTGTCGGTCAATAAATCTGCCTGTTGCAACCCCAAGCACTGAGTGAGGTTTCGTTTTGTTCTGTTTTGCACAGCTGTCCTAGGTATCCTGTCTTCCCTCACAGAGTTTCCGTTCCTTCTAGAGCCAAATCGTTTAGGATAGTGGTGTCAACGCCGACGACAGAAGGACGTGAATGAGCTTTGTTACTGAGAATGGCAGTCTTATCATGGGCCTAAAAATAAGTTTGCCCCAGTGAGTCAAAGGTGAATGTGTACAGCCGTGCACAGCTGGGCGGCATCGATGCCTGGGTGCCCGGTTTCAGCCCAGGAGGCGGTCCATGAATCTGGGAGCGGCTCTGTGCAGAGCTGCCGCACTGCCCAGATAGAGACCCGGCGGTCAGAGCCGGCATGGGCACTGTCGTGAGAGGTGACTGGACTTGCCAGAGGCCCCGAGAACAGCTTTCTCTCAAATACTCAAAGGCTCTAAGACCTTCCTGACTGCTTAGGGCCCACAGAAAGTTTCTGAAAGAAAAAAAAAAATCACTGAAGCTGGGGGGGCCCAAATGTGGGCCTGGAGAGTGCGCAGAGGTCTCCGCTCCTGAAGCTGATGATAGGAGGGCTGGAGGAGGTGTGAACTTCCGTGTCATCTCCCATTGGCTCCTGTGCGCTTGAGCCCCGCCCTCTCCCTCGTTCCCGCCCCCTCGAGTCCAACGACTAACCTGTCTGCTTGAAGACGTGCTCTGGAGTCCAGTAAGAAGGGGATGGGAGAGACAAGGCCGAGGCCTGCTCGCGTTCAAACAGCTCGGGATTCAGCTTCTCTTCTGTTGGAAACTCAGGTGTTCATCATTCTCCCGGCAATCCCAGGTCCAGCTTTGGGGATGGAACTTGGGAAACAGGATTGAAAAGAGGGGGCATACAGGATAAACTGCTGAGGGCCGGATGTAGATCTTATTAATGCCTTTTGCTCCCACTATTTTTCATTTTTCTCACCTCGAAGCCAATTTTCATCCTTTGGCACCTAAGTGCAAAGTTATCTGGGAAAGTCCCAGATTGCTGAAGGAGCCCGATTTCTATCAGGTGCATTTGCATGGCCTTGGGGATCCTTCAAGTGGATTTCCTAACATCCTATTCTTTTGGAAACTTCTTTGTTAAATAAGTCTCTTGGTAAGGCATCTTTTCACATGCCTTTCATTTCTCACAATGGCGTGAGATCTAGCCATCAGCATTAATGATAATGGCTAATGATAACTTTTTTTTTTTTTTTTGCCAGTCATGGGACCTAAGCTCTGGACCTGGATGCTGTCCCTCAGCTCTTCAGCTCAAGGCTAGCACTCTACCACTTGAGCCACAGCGCCACTTCTGGCTTTTTCTGCTTATGTGGTGCTGAGGAATCAAACACAGGGCCTCATGCATGCAAGGCAAGTGCTCTACCACTGAGCCACCTTCCCAGCCCTAATGATAACTTTTGATTGGCAGTGATTTCTATTTTTCATTTAGGCCAATATATTACACTTTTTATAATCAGTGACTTTTGTATGCTTTTTAAAAAATTTCTGACTACCTCCAAGTTATACATTCTTTGAGGTTATTCATATAAAAATTTTGAACCTAGCTCTGGTAGCTCATGCTTTGTAATCCTAGTTACTCAGAAGGCTGAGATCTAAGGATCTGGGTTTGAAGCCAGCCTGTGCAGGAAAGTCTATGAGACTCTTATCTACAGTTAACCACCAAAAAAGTGGAAATGGAGCTGTGGCTCAAGTGGTAGAGCTTTAGTCTTGAGCACAAAAACTCAGGGACAGGGGCTGGGAAGTTGGTTCAGTAGTAGAGCGCTTGCCTTGCATGCATGAGGCCCTGGGTTCAATTCCTCAGCACCATATAAGCAAAAAGAAAAAAACCGGAAGTGGTGCTGTGGCTCAAGTGGTACAGCACTAGCCTTGAGCTGAAGAGCTGAGAGACAGCACCCAGGCCCAGAGTTCAGGCCCCACGACCAGAAAAAACTCAGGGACAGCAGCCATGGCCCTGAGTTCAAATCCCAGGATTTTAATTTTGATTGTGGGGCTGGGAAGGTGGCTCAGTGGTGGAGTGCTTGCCTTGCACATATAAGGCCCTAGTTTTGATTCCTCAGCAACACATAAGCAGAAAAACAAAAACAGAAGTGGCGCTATTGCTCAAGTGATAGAGTACTAGCCCTGAGCTGAAAAGCTAAGGGACAACGCCCAGGCCCAGAGTTTAAGCCCCAGGACTGGCAAAAAAATAAAGTAAAATAAAATAAATAAAAATTTAAAAAATAGGGGCTGGGAAGGTGGCTCAGTGATAGAGTGCTTGCTTGCTTTGAGCTGAAGAGCTGAGGTACAGCACCCAGACCCAGAGTTCAAGACCAACAATAAATAAATAAATAAATAATTTTGATTGTGGGGGGGGATAATGGAAAGAGGTATGTGCTCTGTGCATGTATGAAAATGACACATGAAACTCCATTAATATGCATAATTCATGTTAAAATAAGTGTGAAAATATTTTATTGTTTTACCTTTCCCCTGAACTACAATCAACAGAGTCGATTTTTTAAAATGTGAATTTGGGGGAGGTCAGGTTCATTCATTTCTATGTAGATTTTCAAATGTCTGCAGTAAATAGTCATTTATGGACAAGAGTGTCCTTTCTCCACAGCTCCACAGTGCCGTCTGTGTTGTAAAGCAGTTATCCAAATATGTGAGTATGTTTCTGAACTGTCCCACACATCTTCAATAGAACTCCATGTGGAGATGATCTATAGCTGCTCTTCCAATATGGCAGCCAGGTGCTACTGAGCACCTAGCAGGTGGCTAGTGTTTTTGTTTTTGCTAGTCCTGAGGCTTGAACTCAGGGCCTGGGCACTGTCTTGGAGCTTCTTTTGCTCAAGACTAGCACTCTACTACCTGAGCCACAGCACCACTTCCGGCTTTTTCTGTTTATGTGGTACTGAAGAATGGAACCCAGAGCTTCATGCATGCTAGGCAAGCACTCTACCACTAAGCCACAGTCCCAGCTGGAACTTAGTTGTTGTTCTTTTTTCTTTTTTTCCATATGTGGGGCTTGAACTCAGGGCCTGGGCCATGTCCCTCACCTCTTCAGTTCAAGGCAAACACTCTGCCACTTGAGCAACAGTACCACTTCTGGTTTTCTGGTAATTAATTGGAGATTTTCCTGCTGTGGCTAGCTTTGAACCATGATTCTCAAATCTGAGCCTCCTGAGTAACTAGGATTATAGGCATGAGCTACCGGTGCCCAGCTGGCACTTAGTTTTTTTTTTTGTTTTTGTTTTTAGTTTTTTAATGCTATTTTATTTTGTTGACCATGGAGCTTGAACTCAGGGCCTGAGTGCTGTTCCTGAACTTTGTTGTTGTTGTTGTTGGTCGTGGGGCTTGAACTCTGGGCTTGGACACTGTCCCTGAGCTCTTCAGCTCAAGGCTAGCGCTCTACCACTTGAGCCACAGAGCCACTTCTGGTGTTCTGGTGGTTCATTGTACATGAGTCTCCCTGCCTGGGATGGCTTTGTACTGCAATACTCAGATCTCAGTCTCCTGAGTAGCTAGGATTACAGATGTGAGACACTGGCACCTGGCTTTTTTTTTTTTCCTATAGTGTGGATCGTGTGATCTTAGCTGTGCACCCCTGGGTGGGGGAGGACATGGGTGCTGTATGATTAGCCATGTCTTTCTTCATCTCATACACCTTGATGTCCTTAAAGGTCAGCCCAGAATGACTCCTTGTCTCTGCTGGATTACGAGCTGGAGCCTGTTCCAGAGGCTGAGCGGGCTGGGGAAACTATGAAGTCCCAGGATGTGAGGCCAGAAATCCCCGTCTCTTCACAGTCCGAGCCCTTATTAGTGGTCCCCGAAGCCCTTAAGGCCCCCAAAACCCTTGAGGCCCCCGAAACCCTTGAGGCCCCTGAAGCCCTTGAAGCCCCTGAAGCTCTTGAGGCCCCCAAAGCCCTTGTCCCTGTGCTGCCTCCCGGTGAGTCCAACAGGGAGGAGTACTCTGAAGACATGCTGCCTTCATACATATGGGATGATGATGACTATGAAGATATAATGAAAGTCCCGTCCAGCCATGAGCGGCAGGAAGAAGTCACTGAACGACCATCCTGGGCCAATAAAACTGAGTACCTCCTGGCCCAGGTGGGCTTCTCTGTGGGGCTGTGCACCATCTGGCGCTTTCCTTACCTGTGTTTTCACAACGGAGGGGGTAAGCCTTCTACCAGGATTTGTGGCTCATGGTGGTGGAAGGGAATGAGGAACCGGAGGCCTATCATAGATACTCTGGAATTTGTAGGGACAGAAGATTCGGGAACCTATCTGGGTCAGGAATCAGGTAGCTGGACACCCAGGATCTGAGAGGAAGGTGGATAGTTGGAATTCTTACATCCACAAGGATGAAGAGTCTAGAGGCTTAGTCAGGGGCTGGGGCACAAACTAGGTATGTCGGGGTACAAACTAGGTGGGTAGGTCTTCCACAGATCAGGGACTGGGGAGTTGGTGTGTGCAAGTTCCAGTACTGGGGGTCCTAGTGAGCATGTTTTCCTTTGAAGAAGTTCTCCGAGCCCCTCCTCAATCCTCTTTTGCAGGCAGCTTCATCCTTACCTACATCGCCATGATGCTGCTGGTCGGGATCCCGCTCCTCATCCTGGAGATGGCCGCTGGCCAGAGACTGCGCCTGGGCAGCATTGGTGTCTGGAAAGCCATCAGCCCCTGGTTCGGTGGTGTGGGGTATGCCAGCTTCATCGTGAGTAGTCCTAGTCTACGCCCAAGCCTTCTCTTCACCCCCTCCTCCCATCTCTACCTTTGTCCCAGGGTAGGTCCCTCAAACAGGACAATGCTTCCCATGTGTGTCCCTTCATTTCCCCATCTTTGGTATCCAATTCTGTCCCTTCTGCTTGCCCACCTGTCTCCCCTTGCCTCCAGAATTCCACATGGTCCTTAGGTATGCATCATCGTGGCAACATACTACAGCATGATCTTGGCCTGGAGTTTTTTCTATTTGGTTCAGTCTTTCCAGAACCCGCTTCCGTGGACAGAATGTCCCTTTCTGAACAACTCCAGAAATGTTGGTGAGAAGAGAAGGGAACAAAGGGGCAAACAGGGGCTGGGAATGTGGCTTAGTGGTAGAGTGCTTGCCTAGCATGCATGAAGCCCTGGGTTGGATTCCTCACTACCACAGACAGAGAAAAATCCAGAAGTGGTGCTGTGGCTCAAGTGGTAGAGCACTAGCCTTGAGCAAAAGAAGCTCAGGGACAGTGCCCAGGCTCTGAGTTCAAGCCCCATGACCAACCCAAAACAAAACAAAAACAAAAGGGCAAGTAGGAGGTACTTAAATGGGGTGGGGAGGGAGGAAGGGATCACTGAGGGGAGGGAGGGCTAGGCAGGGAGATGAGAAGGAAAGGGCTGTGTGGAGAAGAGGAGGGGAAGGCCCCTGGTGGTACAGTTTCTCCATGGCCAGTTCACCCCAGATCCTGAATGTGAGAGGACGTCACCCACCATATACTTCTGGTACCGGAAAATGCTGAAAGCCACCGATCAAATCTACTTCAATAATGGACGGCCAATTTTACATCTCTGTGGGTGCCTCTTTTTCACCTGGTTATTGATTTGTATCTCCATGATCAAAGGGCTCAGATCTACTGGGAAGGTGAGCTGCCCTCTCTTTTACTCACCCGATAAACTAGCTTCCAGCTAAGAGCCTTTAGTTAGTTAGGGATTCGTTTTTGGGCCAGTCTTGGGGCTTGATTTTTCTGCTCCAGGTTAGTGCTCCAGTTCTGGACAGTCTCAAGGACTTTGAGGCCCAAGCTGACTTAGAACTGTGATCCTCAGATCTCAGCCTCCCAAGTAGCTGAGGTTAAAGGTGTGCGGCACAGGTGCCTGGCTTCTAAGAACCTTAATAGTCTCCTAACTTTGATGCCTATAGGTCTCCAATATCATGTATCAGTTGCACCTGTTGATTCCCAGTAACTTTTGTTTTGATTCTCCCCAATTTCTTCTGCCTTTGGTGAACAGATGCTGTACGTCTCAGTACTTTTTCCCTACCTCATCCTTTTCTGTCTCCTCATCCGGGCTCTACTGCTGGAAGGTGCATTTTTTGGCCTCCAGACTTTGTTGGCCTTCAAGGTGAGGCGTCCTTCATCCTCTGATTTCTAAATCAAAATGGAGGCATCAGAGACCATGTGGTCATCAGGCTCCTTGTCTTCATCTCTGCTTCCTTTTCATCTTCATTTACATGGTACTTCTTCACCCCCACCCCCCAACAGGTAACATACCTGTACTCAATCGACATGTGGCGCTGGGTTGGGAACCAGATCTTGTTTTCCCTGAGTCCTGGCTTTGGCAGCTTCACCGCAATCAGCTCGTACATCCCTCGGTCCAACGACTGTATCACTGATGCGTTCATTGTGGCTTTTCTCAACTTGGCCGCCTCAATGCTTGACACACTCATTGTGTTTTCCATGATGGGCTACTTGGCCACAGTGAAAACCAAAAACTGCTACATAAGGTGAGCCCAATCTTTCACCTAGAGACCATCATAAAGGAAGTTGGAGAGATAGCCCACAGAATTAGACCCCCATTCAGCAGGGATGCTGGCCGAGTCAGAAAGGTCTGCAGAGTGGAGCATCTTAGAGCTGAGGAACAGCTGAGTCTGTCTAGCCCTCTTTCAGGATTCGCTTTGTCATGTAGGACAGCCTCAGATCCAGAGGTTTTCAAAGGTGTGATTTCTGTTCTTATCTGAGTTCTGCATGGAAAAATTAGAGAATACCTTCCACTAAATAGAAAAGGTACCTCAAGTATTTATATATTTATATATATACATATATATATAAATTATAATAAACATACATACACACATATGCATATATGTATGTGTGGGTATATATATATATATATATATACCCACAGATACATATCTGTACACACACACTCACACACACACACAATTGTATAATTGCTGGGCATTGATGGCTCATGCCTATCATCCTAGTTACTCAGGAGGAGGTTCAAAGCCAGCCCAGGAAGGAAAGTCTGTGAGACTTTTATCTCCAATAAACTACTCAGAAAAAGCCAGAGGTAGTGCTGTAGCTCAAGTGGTAGAGCCTTGAGCACAGAGAGGCTCAGAGACAGTGTCCAGGCCCTGAGTTCAAGCTCAAGACTGGAAACAAAAAACTGGATAGTATCACAGGTCTGTTTTGCAGCAGCTTTCCATAGCAATAACTAGTTGAGTTCCTATTAGGACTTTTAAGAATTAGCCATGTGGAGGATGGGTGGAAAATGCTAAGCCAAGAGAACAGCACACACCAACGATGCTGAGATGGGAGAGGCATGTCCAGTGAGGAAGAACCTTAATCGCAGAAGCTGTCTGAAGAGCCGGGTATGGACAGATCTTCTCCGAGGCCAGCAGGCCTAAGGAGCTGGCAGGTTCTTGTGTTAGCCTGAGATGTTCTAGCAGGAGAGAAGAGTCATAAAGCCATCAGTGTCCCTGTAGAAACTGTCCAGTTTCCCATAATTTCCTTTGCAGCTAGGAAGGAAGGCAGCCAGCTGAGTACACTAGGACCTTGGAGACCTGGGGGGGGGGGGTCAGCACTGCCTCCATCAACCAGATTACTAGAGGCTAGCCAGGAAGAAAAAGGAAGAGAGATGATGTTAAAGGGCCAAACTGTTTTACATGATTCCACTCTGGTTCCCAGGAATGCTGATGAGGTGACGAGAATGGTAGCTGATGGCTTACTACCCAATGAGGCCAAACCCCCAGGGGGTCTCTACCAAGATCCAAATGTCATCTATATAAAGTGGATCAACAGCTTGCCCAGAAAGGTGAAACACGAGGTCCTACAGTATTTGTTTATTTGCAACAGAACGACAGAATTGAAAAGGGTAGGTAAGAGTTGGCAGAAGGGGACTCAAATTTCCCAAAGCCCCCAATCTGTCAAAAATTTCATCTCTTGGGCTGGGAAGGTGGCTCAGTGGTAGAGTGCTTGCCTTGCATGCATGAGGCCCTGGGTTCGATTCCTCAGCACCACATATGCAGAAAAAGCCGCAAATGGAGCTTTGGCTCAAGTGGTAGAGTGCTAGCCTTGAACTGAAGAGCTGAGGGACAGCACCCAGGCCCAGAGTTCAGCCCCACAACCAGCAAAAAAAAAAAAAACAACTTCATCTCTTTATTATATCTGTAGAATTTGGAAGGCAATACTTGGTAGAATCCTGGTAGAGACCAAGGGCTATGTAGTCTTTTCTTTTTTCTTTTTGCTGGCACTGGGTCTTGAACTCAGGGCCTTAGCACTGTCCCTTAAGCTTTGTGCTCAAGGCCGATGCTCTACCATTTGAGCCACAGCTCCATTTCTACCTTTAGGGGTGGTTCATTGGAGGTAACAGTCTCATGGGCTTTCCTGCCCAGGCTGGCTTCAAACCATGATCCTCACATCTCAGCGTCTTGAGTAGCTGGGATTGTAGCAACTCCATACCCAGTTGATGGTCCCCATTTGAAATAAGGTCACTGCAGCCTCTTTAGCACCAAACGTAGCTCTGCATGTGAACCTACTCACCCCAGCCCACGTGTTCCCCTGCTTCAATGCCAGAGGAAGATGGCACTGTCCAGGAAGGATGATGCTATAGACTGTTTCTTAGGAGAGGGGAGCAGAAATTGAGCTAGGCTTCATTCTGAGCTCAGGGTCCTTGCCATGCCTGCCCTCACTCACAGGTTATGGAGGGGCCGGGCGTGGCCTTCGTGACGTTTACGGACCTCATCTCTGTGTTTGCTGGCTCCAACTTCTGGGCCATTATTGTGTTCCTGTTGCTGATCACGGTAGGGCTGAGCACCATTCTAGGTCTCATGCAGGGCATCATTACGCCTCTCCAAGATACCTTCTCCTCCCTGAGGAAACACACAAATATGCTCACAGGTATTCTCCCCAATGACCACCCTCCACACACATACCACCCCCAGTCTATGACACTTACTGAGTTTAACCCACCCAGGATTTTCCTACAGCCCAACCTGAATTCTGACCACGAACCAACCTTGACGTTTTCCTGCAGTGGGCGTGTGTATGGCCATGTTCCTGAGCAGCCTCATGTTCACATGGCCCTCCAGCAGCTACTACTTGAATCTGCTGGATGATTATTGGATAGCTCTGGCCCTCTTCTTCATTGTCATTTTGGAGAATGTGGCCACAGCCTGGATCTATGGGGCCAGGAGGTAATGCCCCATGCCCAGGGGTCTCCTGCAGCCACCCTTGGAGTGGCTTTCCTCATCTTCTTCATTCTTGGTTCCCAAGATCTCAGAGCTCAAGGCTTAGGGAGATCCCAGGAAGGGAGGGAATGAGAGAGGCATGGATTGATTTCAGAGAAAATGCTTGTGAAGTAGAAAGGTGAGGGCCCCTAGCTAGCCCAGTAGGCTCTTGAGCTCTGCTTTGAACCAGGGTAGTGAGAACATCTGAAGCACAGGATCCTTTACTTACCCCCAAAATGCACTATTTGGAAATGTACTTGAAAATCAGAATCTCTAGCCTGATGTGGTAGTGCATACCTGTAATCCTGGAAATCAGAAACTGAGGCAGGAGAATCATAAACCATAATGAGACTCTGCCTGGAAGGAAGGAAAGCAAGATAAGAAAAGAGGGGGAAACATAGTAAACATGCAAACTCCACCCTAGGCCTCCAATGTATCTGCATTTTAACCAGTTCCTCAGGTAATTTTTATGTACTAGCATTTGAGAAAACATCTGGAGGGGCTGGGAAGGTGGCTCAGCGGTAGAGCGCTTGCCTTGCATGCCTGAGGCCCTGGGTTCGATTCCTCAGCACCACATAAGCAAAAAGAAAAAAGCTGGAAGTGGCGCTGTGGTGCAAGTGGTAGAGCACTAGCCTTGAGCTGAAGAGCTGAGGGACAGCGCCCAGCACAGAGTTCAGGTCCCACAACTGGACCCCCCCCCAAAAAAAAAAGAAAGAAAAAGAAAAAGAAAGCATCTGGAATACCTGGCCTACAATTTGCACACTTGCCTTATCCCGATGACTGGGATTATATGTGTGTGTTACCATGCTCATCTAAGTCAAGATCGTTAAAAACAACAATAAAAAAAACCCACAAAAATCCTGGGGGTTGGGCAGAGATTAGATGGAAAGAAAAAGATTTGAAATGAGATGACTGGCTTGTGGTGCTAAACAGAACGGTCTAGGAATTAAGGGCCCTGTCCTAGGCTAGATTGGAGCTCCCCTTCCCTCCATGTCTCCCCTCCCTGCCAAAGCTAGGCCAGGGCCAGCTTGGGCCTCCCAAAAGTTTCCTTCCTTGTAGGTTTCTGGCAGACCTAACTGTCATGTTAGGCTATTCCATCCGGCCTATTTATCGTTGGCTGTGGAGCTGTGTGTCGCCCTTTGTGCTGATCGTCCTGTTTGTGACCACCCTGATTCATCTCTTGGTGAAGTCTCCCACCTACCTGGCCTGGAACTCCAGCACTGTAAGCCCTCGAAGGAGGGAGTTGGGAGCCAGGCCTCCTAGCCTGCGCATGCCCCTAGGATCCAGTCATGCCAATCCTTGACCTCCTGCCCCTAGCCCTAGCTCAGCTCCTACCCCTCCTTCTCCACAGCGCCCCTCTTCATAGAAGCTTGGCACCCTAAAACCTTCCTCCTCTTTCTCCACAGTCAAAAGAGATCTCGCTGTCTTACCCCTCGTGGGCCAATGTCTTGCTGGTGGTCCTCATCACTGTGACCATCCTGCCCATCCCTGCCTACTCCATGTACATCCTTGTCCAGAAGGCCAGGCCTGTCTGCTTGTCTTGCATCTAAAACTCAGTCTCCACCAAGCTCAGGAGAAATCCCAGAAGCTTTGTCCATGGCTTCCAGAAGGGAAACCTCGCCAGAAACCAGTAAGATGTAAACATGGCCTGTGTGAATCCTTTTGGAAATAAAGAGGAGCTTCATTTGGCATAATGTCACTTGTCTCTTAGAGTGAAACTTTGTGTTTTTGGTGCTGATCCTGGGGCTTAAACTCAGGGCCAGGGCTCCGTCCCTGAGCTTCTGTGCTCCAGGCTGGTGTTCTACCACTTGAGCCACAGTACCATTTCCAGTTTTTTGGTGCGTAAGTAGAGATAAGCATCTCCGGGACTTTCCTGCCCCGGCCTAGCTTGGAACCCTGATCCTCATATCTCAGCCTATTGAATAGTTGGGATTACAGGCCATGCACCAACTCCGAGATGGCAGCCCGGAAGTGAGTCTCTCTAAGGCCGATTGCCTCAGTTTCCTTCCCTGTTGCAGCAAATGGTTAAAATCGCTCCTGGTCCGGGGCGGGGGTGGGGGGAGGTCCAAGAACCCCAGTTCAGTGCGTGCGTGCGCGCGCAGCCACGGACACCACCGGACACCACCCGCCTGGGCCGCGCGCCGGGCGGGTAGAGCTGAGCCAGTTTGCAGGAACTGGGGAGCCCCCACCCCCGTCATGAGTCTGGGAAGGTCAGGGCAGGCGTGGGGCGGAAGGGCGCAGCCCTGAGCCGCGCTGTCTCCCCCCACACAACCCAGAAGAGGACGATCCTTGCTGGTGGGGGGGCTGGGGGTCGGGGGCCTGGGCGGGGCCAGCGATGGGTGGGCCTGGCAGGGTACTGAGGGAGAGCAGGGAGGGCAGGGGTGGGGCTGGGCCGAGCTGGGTATGGGGTTGGGCAGGGTCAGGGTGGGGAGCAGGGTCAGGGGTGGGGTTGGGGTCCTCCAGGATTCACTCTGGGGGCCATTGTCCATCTGCTTCTCAGCTAGTCTTCAAACAGGCTGTGGCTCCTTGACTCTCCCCGCCCCCCCTGCACCCGGCCTCAGAGGACCCTTGTCAGGGGTCCCCACTTCCGCAGACACCACCCGGGTCCCTCGGACTGACACCTCCCTCCAGAGAGGCCGACACTTCGGCAGCAGTCTGCTGAACGGCAGGTACTACGCATGTTCACGTGTGCACATGTGTAAGGGGCCCAAACACCAAGGCCCCACTTAGCAGTGCCTGGAGGCGCCTGAGATCTGAGCCACTGGTACATTTGGTCAGGTTAAAGCAAGGACTCTAGGCTACTGCAAACTGCAATGTAAAAAAATCATGTTTTACACGGATGCCTGTAATCCCACAGAGAGGCCTTGTCTCCAAAGAAAAACTACTGCCAGTAGCCATGCTGAGGGCCCCAGCTGGAGGGATAGAGCACTGGTGTAGCATGCTTGAGTCCCTAGGCTCAATCGCCAGAAAAAGAAACTAAAACATCAGAAAAACGAAAACATTGTATTTTAAAAGAATACTTTCTGACATAGGAAAATATTCATGATACTATAGAAGATAAATGTATAGTTAACGTAGCTACTTATAAAAATCATGTTTGTAGAGTATCCAAGTATAGCTTCACAACCAATGTGGATATTTCATATGCAGTATACAACATGTTCTATGATCACTAAATCTGTACGAAATACACATAATATATATATATATATATATATATATATAATAACTAGTTTACAAGATCTACTGTGCCCTTTTCAACAGAACCAACAGGAGGATTATAAGTCTGAGTCATCAGCATCGGAGGCTTGATCTCTGGGCCTGGGTGCTGTCCCTCAGCTCTTCAGCTCAAGGCTAGCTCTCTACCACTTGAGCCACAGCGTCAATTCTGGTTTTCTAGTGGTTCATTGGAAACAGTCTCACAGACTTTCCTGCTGAGACTGGCTTTGAACTTTGATCCTCAGATCTCAGCCTCCTGAGTAGACAGGATGACAGGTGTGAACCACTGGCACCTGGCTCCAACACTGCTCTTGATCAAGCTTGTTTCAGCTATTGTGAATTTCATTATTAACATTTTCTGCAAAGAGGCAGCTATGGATCCCATTGAGTTTTGGAGGCATTGCCATATTAACAATAGTTACTATTAATAATAGCCTATGATTCCACCAGGTCCACCCTCCGCCTCAGATCTATGGCATTTGAGGCTCGGGAAGTGAGGTTGGAGAGTAAAAGGCAGGAAGCTGTATTCTTAGAGCCCCACAAATGACTAGGTTTTGGGAGCCAGCTAGGTTTAGGAGGCACTGGATTGGAAGTCTGTGCATTAGTTGGGCCCCAAGTGGACCAGAAGGAAAAAGGAACATCTCCAATGTCCCCAGCGTCCAGGGTCTGTACCTGGCCCATTTGTTGTTAAGTATTCCAAAATTAACCTCTGCTTGTAAGAGACAAAACTGAGCCTCAGAAAGATGGGATTATTAACCGGAGTCAACTATTCCCACTGAGGGCTGGGGTCGAGTGGTTCCATAGGAGAACAGGCAGGGACCCCGACTCAATCCCCAACACATGTCACTACTCAGGAAGAAGGGATGAGATTGTTAGCTGGGCACCCATGGCTCACGCCTGTCATCCTAGCTGCTCAGGAGGCTGAGATCTGAGGATGGCGGTTCAAAGGCAGCCCGGGCAGAAAAGTCTCTGTGAGACCCTTATCTCCAATTAACCCCTCAAAAACCAGAAGTGGCGCTGTGGCTCAAGTGGTAGAGCGCTTGCCTTGAGCACAAAGAGGCTCAGGGACAGCTCCCAGGCCTTGAGTTCAAACTCCACAACAGACAAAAGTAAATAGAAATAAAACCCTTGTAATAAAACTTTCCACGCTAGTGGCTGAAAGGCATATCCCTTAAAGTCTGTTGTTCTTGGTGACCCCAAGATCCCCTCATCAGGTGCTCCTGGGCCTGGCAGCAGAACACCATGGGGTCCCTTGAAGACTTTTCTGACACCCCAGAGGAAGAGTCCAACAAACTTGGCAACACCCACTCCTTCTCTTGGAACTTCAAAGCCAAGGACGTGTGGGCCAACAAGAGCCCAAACTACCTCCTCCGGAGTCGGAACAGGGAGGGCATCTTGGTCCAGGTGGCCTTCTCCATGTGGCTGGGCAGCATGTGGCGCTTCCCTTACCTGTGTCACCGCAACGGAGGAGGTGAGGCCAGGAGAAGGAAGACTCAGCGCCCAGAGCCTGGGCTGGGGGGGGAAGGAGGGGCGGCCAAGGCCCCATGCCCTCCCTCCGTCCACCCCACAGGCAGCTTCATCCTGACTTACCTCATCATGCTCTTCCTGTTCGGGGTGCCCCTCCTCTACCTGGAGATGCTCATTGGACCCTGGCTGCAGGAGGATAGCGTCCAGATCTGGAAGCAGCTGGCTCCCTGGCTGGGGGGAGTGGGCTACTCCAACATACTGGTGAGTGACAGCCCCACCCCTGCCCCGCCCCCTCCTTCCTCTTCTTGTCTCCTCTCTTCCTTTTCTCCTCCTCCTCCCTCTTTTACTTCTCCTCCTCCCCCCATTCCATCTCCTCCTCCTTCCTTTCTTCTTGGTCTCCTCCTCTTTCTCCCCTCCTCCTCCTCCTTCCTTCTTCCTCCTCCTTTTTTTCTGTTCCTCCTTTCTTCTCCCTTCTACCTCCTCCTCTTTTCCCTCCTTCTCCTCTTCCTCCCCTTCCATCATCTCTTCTTTTTCTATTCTTCCTCCTCTCCTTCTTCCTTTTTTTTTTTTTTGTCAGTAGTAGGGCTTGAACTCAGGGCCTGGGTGCTGTCTCTGAGCTCTTCAGCTCAAGGCGAGCACTCTACCATTTGAGCCACAGCACCGCTTCCGGTTTTTCTGGTGGTTTATTGGAGATAGTCTCATGGACTTTCCTGCCTGGGCTGGCTTTGAACCTTGATCCTCAGATCTCAGCCTCCCGAGTAGCTAGGATGACAGGCGTGAGCCACCAGCAGCCAGCTCCTTCCTTCCTTTTCTTCTTCTTTCTCCTTCATTGTTTTCTTCTCTTCCTCCTCCTCCTCCTCTTTTTCTCTCCTTTGTCTTCTCCTCCTCCTCCCTTTTCTCCCCCTCTCTGCCCACCCCACCATCAGGCCCGTGGCCGCCTCCTCCTCAGGCGAGCATCATGGTGAGCTTGTATAACAGTGCCGTCGTCTCCTGGTGCCTCTTCTACCTGAGCCAGTCTTTTGTTTACCCCCTGCCCTGGGACCACTGCCTGATGGAGAAGAACATTAATGTCACTGGTGAGGATGGGGGAGGGGGGTGACAAGACACTGGGGTGGGGGGGCATGCCCAGTGAACTGCAAATACCATATCCGCCTGACTCCCTAGACTTATCTTGCCTGTGGACGGTGCCCCAGCAGTACTTCTGGTATCACACGGCCCTGCACGCCTCGGGCAGCATCGAGAACGGGATGGACAGGCTGCTGCTGCACCTCAGCCTGGGCCTCTTGGCTACCTGGTTCTTCCTCTTCTTAATCATGACTGCGGAGATCAAGATTTCAATGTCTGTAAGTCACCCACCCGCCCACCGGACAAGAATACATGCCAGAGTCCTGGGACCAGGCTTGACTGTCCCCAGGGAAGCCTTGTCCCTCCCCCAGTCCTCCCGATCAGTGGCACGGGGTTGGGAGGACCCCTCGGGCTCACCCTACTCACAGCCACGGAGACCCAAAAGCCTTATGCCACAGGAGAACCCCCCCAGCTCTGCCTATGTGTGTTCCATTAGTGCACACTCCCCTCCCCAGAGGGCCTGGGTTGGTGACAGTGTCCTTATGCACTTCTGCCTTTGCCCTCCGTCCCCGCACCCACGTCAGCACGCAGCCTTCACCTCCTGGGAGACTCAGGGTCCAACCTCCGTCCAGCGGGCCGGCCATTGCACAGCCTCGCTCCTCGCGAGTCTCCTCGGCCCTGGCGGCTCACTGCTGGGGTTGCCCTCCCCGGAATCATGTGCCCCTGGCACCCCCTGTGCCCACCGGGCCACCTCCCCACAGCTTGCAGCCTCCTTCACTCCACGGGCCCACAGTGCCTCCTTCCCTCCTCTTCTGATCCTGCTTTCTATTCTCCTCCTTGGCCAGATCCTCACCTCCTCCATCTTCCTCCCCTACATTCTCCTCCTCTGCCTCCTCATCCGAAGTGTCTTCCTGGAAGGGGCGTTCACCAGCCTCAAGCGGATGCTGACCACAGAGGTGAGGCGGCCTTCCCCCCACTCCCTGCTGCCCTCTGCCCATCCCCCTCACCCCCACCTGTCCCCTTCTACAGCTTGACACCATGGTCTCCGTGGACATGTGGTTCCAGGCGGGAAGTCACGTGCTCTACTCTCTGGGCCTGGGCCTCGGCACCATCATGACCTTATCCCAGGCCAGATACGCCAACTACATCAAGACGGCCTCCTCAGTGGCTTTCGTCAACCTGGTGACCTCACTGCTCACCACATCCATTGTGTTTCTGGTGCTGGGCTTCTGGGCCACCACCAGCGGCCACACCTGTGTTGAGATGTAAGGAACCCCTCCCTCCCAACAAACCAACTCCATGGGGCTCATTTCCACTTCCCTAGCCATCTCCCCCTGCTGGCTCTCATGGTGCTGTCCCAGGGCAGGGACTGAATTTCCAAATAAGGTCATGCTCCCAGGGGACAGGATGGCAGGCGTGGGGGGCGGGGGAGGGGGCATGCTCACGGTGTGGCAGTGTACATTTTGGGGGAGCATCACATGCTCTTTGCAGATGGACAGGGACGGTCCCCAGGAGGCCACTCTTCTTTCTCCTGGGCCTCCCCTGCAGGAGCGTCTCAAGTCTGACGAAGTTCATTGCCAAGGGCATTCTGCCTCAGAAGGCCAAGCCCCCGGATGACATGCTGCACCGACCCCCCGTGGACTACTTGGCCTGGATCACTGGCCTCCCCAAGCACCTCCAGCACAAGGTCATCCAGCTGTCCCCATCCTGCAGCATCATGGTGAAGGAGGAACAGGTGTGTGGCTCAGGGAGGAAGGGCTCTGGGAAACGCATTTCCTGGTCACCTTTTAGACCACCTTGGCCTCCCCAGAGGCAGGGGATGGTCCAAATCATGGCTGTCACACCGTTCCTACACACCAAGGCCTTTGCTGGGTCCCCACTTGTTAGAGGGAGAAGCTGAGGCCCTGGGGGGTGTGAAGCTTACCCACCTCACCAAACCAAAGGGGTTAAACGTTCAACATTTCGTCCTCCAACCTCCATCCATGCCTCCTGCCTCTGCCCATGACAGACATTGCTAATTGATTACTGCACGATCCACCCCCTCCAGGATTCCCAAGGCCTCAGAGCTCTTCTCCCCCACAGTTCATGGAGGGCCTGGGCCTGTCCTTCGTAGCCTTCTCCCAAGCCGTCTTGTTGCTCCCCGGGGCCTCGTTCTGGGCCATCATCTTCTTCCTGGCTCTGATCATCATGGAGCTGTGCATCATGATACGAATCTTGGAGTGCATTATCCTAACACTCCAGAACTTCATTTTCATAAGGCAACCCAGGATGGTTCCAGGTACCATGGAGCCACACCCCAGCAAACACCCTGCCCCCCCTCCCCAGCTCCCCAAGCCCAGCTCACCGTGAACCCTGCCCCTCTGCTTCAGTGGTCATCTGCTTGGGAGGTTTTCTGGGCAGCCTCATCTTCTCCACCCGCTCTGGCAGCTACATAGTGGCCTTGTTTGATGACCACATTGTCCCGCTGGTCCTCATCATCGTGGTGCTGTTCCAGAACGTGGCTGTGGCCTGGATCTATGGTGCCAGGAGGTGATTTCAAGCCCCAGGCCTGTGAGGACTTCAGGGGTTTGCTGGGCTCCCTGTGCAGGGACTTGGGGTGTGTGGGGGAGGGTGTCTGTGAGGGGCGGGCTGCCGCTAGGAGCAGGGTGTGAGTCGGGTCACAGAGGTAGCATGCCCCTCCCCCAGGTTCAGGCAGGCGATCCTGGTAAAGTTGGGCCACCTGATCAGGCCCTCATTCACCATGCTGTGGCTCTACGTGATGCCACTCTGGCTGCTGACCCTGATCGTCATCTCACTCGCCCTCCACTACCACAGTCCCAGCCCCTCCTACATCACCTGGAACAGCAGTGTGGTGAGCCCACACCGCCCCAGCCTGCACCTTCCACCCCTATCACATCTGCCACCCGCCTGACACTGGGTCTGGGCTCCCATCTCCCCCCCAACACTCCATCCATGGGGACCTCGAGTCCACTGCCCTGACCCTGGGGAACTTCCGTGCAGGGGCTGAAGCCCACGCATGACGTATGCCCTTCACACCCCCCATCTCGGGGGACCCTCTCCCCCCAACAGAGCCAGGAGGTAAGGCAGCCGTACCAGCAGCACATGCTGCACTGCTTCACGAGCCTCAGCCTCTCCCCGCTCCTCGTCATCCTCGGCTACCTGCTGTACCACTGGTGGTACCGGCAGGACCCGGTCGGCTCCAACACCCTCCAGAGGCTGCCGGCCAAAAAGATCCCCACCATGCTCCCCCAGCCCCTGCCCTGGCCCAAGCACCCCATGAAGAAATCCACCAGCCAACTCCAGGACCCCAGCACCGTGTCGTCCATGGAGTTCAGCCTGCCCCTGAGGAGCAGGAGCTCGCCCTGGTTCAAAACATGCCTGATGCCCTCCCTGACCTCCCAGGACAGCATCGTGACCCCCCTGCAGATGACCCCCACCTCGGAGACCCTGGACGACAGCCAAGTGATGAGCAAGCATTCGTCCCTGTAACCCTACGTGCAGGGTTCCCCCCCCCAAGGCGGATCTGCCAGCCAGCAGCCCACGGGTGCCCAAGAGGGAGCCAGGGGTGACGCAATCCTCGGTCTTGGAAGAAGAGGGGATCCCCCATCCATCAAGGGCTTCAAGAGCCCCACCACACACTGGGGAGCTGGGGTCCCCACTGTGCCCAGGGAGGGGCCACGCCCCTTACTCTCTCCTTGTGAGTTGGGGTGGATGCCCCAATTCGCCCTGCAAGGGAGAGAGGGTGGTGGGTATTTTTAGGGGTACCCTCAGCATGGGGCAGGGTCAATAAACCCGTCCATGGGATTGTTTACCCCCGCACCCCCGTGTCAGCCTCCTGTCCCCACATACTGGCCTCCATACACTGGCCTCCACAAACTGGCCTCCACACACCACCCAGATTGACTGTTCTGGCCTGGCCAGCCCATCCCCTCAGCCTGAGGCACACAGATGCAGGTCTTCCAGAGCCTTCACTGTCCTGGAGTTCACCACTGTAGGGAGATTCATTCCAGCCATCAAGACTCAAGCTAGCCAGTGCGTCCAGTGCATCTTAGCCCCCCCAGGGCTGCACCTGCCCCGTGCCTATCACGTCACTGCGCAACGAGAGGGCAGGGCGCGTACAGCAGCGCAGGCTCCTCCATCTTCTCTGGGCCTCGATCTTTTTCTCTTTTTAGTGGGAATGAGGACCCCAGGAGGTGTCCCACTGCTTCAGCCTTTCTTGGCTTTCAGGGAGGGTCTCGTGCGTTTGCCTGACCACAATCCTACCCAGCCTCCCCTCTCCTCTCACCCTGCATTTCTTCACCCCTCTCCTCCCAAGTTGCTGAGATGACAGGTGCATGCCACCACTCCCAGCATAGTGGTTGAGATGGGGGCTCATTGTTCACCTGGGTGGGCTTTTCATTAGGCTTCCCCAGTCTCCACTAGCCAAGTAGCTGAGATCATACGCATAGGTCACTATGCCTGGCCCCCGTGCCCCTCCCCTCCTCAGGTACGGGGACAGAAGTCACATGGTTTCCATGGTCTGAGGGCCAAGAGACCCCTCTGAGAACCTGGGACGCACTGCAGTCGGCTGTGGGGAGCAGGGTTCTGTGTGTCTGGATGTTAGATGGGCAAGGCAGCTGGGGGAGGGGTGTGGAGGAACATTCCAGAAGCTGCCTCAGCCATTCCCAGGATGAAGACCCTTCTCCGCCTACCATCAGCAGCTTTAGCCCCTGCTTCTCAAATCTACCCCGGCCCTTCACACATTTTACCTCAGAGGAGAGGTCTCAGTTCTATCCACAACCTCCTGAGAAACCATCCCAACACATGCAGGAAATCGCCCTGTCTGCGAAGCATAATTTGTTCTGCTTATTGGAGTTAAAATGGCAGAGCAAAGGGGCTGGGAAGGTGGCTCAGTGGTAAGAGCACTTGCCTTGCATGCCAGAGGCCCTGGGTTCGATTCCTCAGCACCACATACGCAAAAAGAAAAAAGCCGGAAGTGGCGCTGTGGCTCAAGTGGTAGAGCGCTAGCCTTGAGCTGAAGAGCTGAGGGACAGCGCCCAGGCCCAGAGTTTAGGCCCCACGACCGGACCCAAAAAAAAAAAAAAAAATGGCAGAGCAAAGCTGAGCATTGACTCACGCTCGTAATCTTAGCTACTCAGGAGGCTGAGGTCTGAGGATTGTAGTGCAAAGCCAGCCTGGGCAGGAAAGCCCATGAGACTCTTACCTCCAATAAGCAAAAAAAGTGACAAGCGGAGCTGTGGCTCAAGTGGTAGAGCACCAGGCTTACACAAAATAGCTCCGAAACAGCATCTAGGTCCTGAGTTTAAGCCCCAGGACTGACATACTGCGCACACATGCACACACACATACAGACACACGCATGTACACGTTATCAGTTTAGACTGATCTCTTGGCTTTTTTTTTTTTTGGTCGGTCCTGAGTCTTGAGCTCTAGGCCTGGGCGCTGTCTCTGAGCTCTTCAGCTCAAGGCTAGCATTTTATCACTTGAGCCACAGTGCCCCTTCCGGCTTTTTCGGCTTATGTGGTACTGAGGAATCGAACCCAGGGCTTCACGCGTGGGAGGCAAGTACGCTACCACTGAGCCACTTTCCCAGCCCTCTCTTGGTCATGTTTGATGTCCCTTACCAATAATTACAGGGTGGTGATGAACCAGCCCCAGAGCCACCCACACCCCACAGTGGATGAACCTAGAGTCGGTCACTCTGGTTTTGTCAGACTTAACTTGGCTTACGCTGATAGGGTTAAGCCACGTGGCAGTTCCTGCCAGCTTTTTCCACATGGGCCCACCCAGGGAATAAATATTTTAGGTTTGCAGGACATATGGGCTGTATCACATATTCATCTTTATATATATATATATATATATATAAGCTATATATATAAACTATAAATATATATATGTGTGTGTGTATATATACACCTTCCCTAGTTCCTGGGCCACAGAAAAACAGGTCACTGGCTCGATTTATCCCACAGGCTGTAGTGTGTTAATGCTTGATCCAGGCCACAGGAGTCCAAGAACATTCTGACTAAATCGAGTCAGAAGCCCCTACTGGGGACCAGAGCAAAGGAGCAAACCACAGGCTGTGCCGTGGAAGGGGGGTGGGGACACCTGGCTTCCCAGAATGTCAAGTTTTCAAATCAGGCCTGCGCAACTCCCCCCCTCCGCTTTGATGCAAGTTCACAAAGAGCCACAGGCCCCCTGGGGACGGGCCCATGCAGCGACCCAACAGTCAGACCCCGAGATGAAGGAGGATTCATAGCCCCTCTGAGCTGAGGATTGAAGAAACTGCCCCAGCCATAATGGAGGAGGAGAAGTCAAGTCTCAATGCTTTAAATAGCAGCTGCTGCCAGGCCATGGGCGCTGGTGGCTGCTGCCCCCTAGTGGCCGCCAGCTGCCTTCACCGTAGCCCAGCGTACCCCATCATTAAGGTTCATCAAAGTCACTCGCATTGACTCCCCTAGTGGGGGGGGGAAGACACCTCCAAAGGGATACTCGGTTCAAAATTGACATCAGAGAGCTGGGTGTGATAACGCAGGTCTGTAATCCCAGTACTGAGGAGATGGGAGGCAGGAAGATGGTGAGTTCAAAGCTAGCTAGGTACAAAGTGAGGCCCAGAACCAGGAGGTGACGTGAGGACCATGGCTGTGTTCTGAACACATCATCCTTTAGTCACTCAGACTTCCTGGTCAAGACCCAGTGGTCCTACCGGGGAATGGAGATGGCGGGCCCCCAGGAAGCAAGTTTCCCCCTCTAGTTACTTTCCTTGAGGACAGCTGGGGTAGTAGCCTTTATGGACCACCCTATCTCTAGGGGGTGTGCTTGGCAGCCACATCCAGAAGGTGGCGCTGTGGTACTGTGCCCTGACCTCTGTCGTTTTCCTACTCCTGAAGAGCATGGCTCACGTGACAGTCCCTGACATTTTCGGGGTCCTTTCAGTGGGAGCATTAGAGACAAGGACTCGTGACAGCTGTGTACTGATTGCCCTTGGGGTCCTGCCCAGCAAGGCGGCCTTGATTTCCCTTCCCCACTTAGCCAATTCAGTTGCTTTTCCCCCTTGGGAATTTGGAGGTTGGTGACTACAACCAGATCCACCCTGTGGCTGAGGCTGCCTGGGCAGCAAAGACAGAGGGTGACCTCTCACCCCCTTAGCTCCTCTCTTCAGGGCCAAGGCCAGAGCAGTACAACATGAAGCTCCCAGTACCCAGCAGATATTTACGACAATGCCTGAAAAGTTAACAAAAACTTATGGCACCAGTAGCTCACGCCTGTAACCCCAGCTACTCAGGAGGCTAAGATCTGAGGATCAGGGTTAGAAGCCAACAAGAGGCAGGAAAGCCAGTGAGACTGTCATCTCCAATTAATGAACAAAATGCCAGAAGTGGAGCACCAGCCTTGAGCAACAAAGCTCAGCAACCGCACCCAAGCCCTGAGTTCCAGCCTGATTAGCAACTCACAACACATAGAATCAAGAGGAGACCCTGAAGAGCTGAAACCTAACCAGAAAGGGGCGGTGAAGGGGGCTCTCAGTCTGGGATTGGTGTGAACAAAGGTAGACAAGAAAACTGGTCTGAAAAAGAAACTGAGCTGGGCATTGGTGACTCACACTTGTCATCCTAGCTACTTAGGAGGCTGAGATCTGAGGATCGCAGTTCAAAACCAGCCTAGGCAGGAAAGTCCATGAAACTCTTAGCTCCAATAAACCACTAGAAAACTGGAAGTGGCACTGTGGCTAAAGTGGTAGAGTGCTCACCTTGAGCTGAAGAGCTGAAGGACAGTGCCCCAGGCCCAGAGTTCAAGCCCCACGATGAACAACAACAACAAAGAAATGGAAACGCAGAAGGTACTGTAACTGAAGCCTCTGGGCTGCAGAAAAGAGCCCATCCTTATCCTTTCCTCCTCTAGCGCCCCCTGCAGGGAGTCCCTAGTAGGACTCAGCCTGTAAAGTGCAGGCTGGGCTTCAACCCCACCCAGCCTGGCAGACAAAAGTGAATTTGAGTTTAATACATGGCTTAAGCCTCCCTGGGCCTGACTTCCACCACTCCACAGCATTAGACATCTCTAGGTACAAAGCTCACCCAGATTTCTATCCAGGTACTCTTGGGCTCACATGCCTTTATGGAACCGACTTAATTTGCCCACGCCTCAGTTTCCTTAGATGGTTATCTGGAGGAGTCACGGATTTAGAAGCCACCTGTGAAACAGTTAACTCCAGACACACAGCAAGGACTCTGCCCACACTCACGAGCCCAGCTACAGCTCATTACCAAGATGATCACGCGGGTTGGTGAATGCTGAGTCGGCGTTTTCTAGGCAAGTCAGTTGTCACACTTACTTGGCGAGGTTTCAAAACAACTCTCGGCACCCGAAGAGGCAGATAGTTGGAATTCCTCCAATTTGGAGGAAAGCTGTTTTGGTTTTTGATTTGGGGATGTGTTGGTTGGTGGTGGCTTCCTCGCCATTTAACTAATAATTGCTGCTACTTCAGC